TACTCTCTATTCAAAGCATACGGAGTGCTCTATTTATAGAGCAACTCCAAGCACACATCTTTGACAATATAATCTCCACATATCAATATTTTGCCAAGGTTTTCAACACTTTGGCAATGTTTTCAATGTTGTGGCAGGTATTCAATACTGTGGGCATTCATTACCCACTAGTATTTTCAACACTCCCCCTTGGATGCCCACATATCAACATTAGTTGCCTCGTTAAAATCTTAATCTATTTTTGGATGCTCCCCCTTGATGAGTTTCTCCCCCTGATTTCAAATTCTTTAAGCTGATCATTGATCCTGCTGCTTTAGTCTTTTAGCGGTGATAGTTGCCGAATGAGGTGTTTCACTTGTTGTTAACTTTCCACAGGCTTGTTCTTGAACTGGGTTAGAGGGTCTTCTGCTAGACTTCCTCCAAAGGTCTGAATTTACCTATTTTATCTGGAGCTGAATTCGATTCAAGGGTGGTGGACACTTGATCTTGAATTGGACTTGTAATTTCTTCAAATGCCGTATAGGCTTGATCTTGAATGAAATTGGACCATGATGAGCTTCATGTGATAAGTGATCTTAGACTTTGTCGGGGATAAACTTACATGTGTTTGTTGTGCTTGTTTCCACATGCTTCAATGTATCATTTTCACTTGCCTTACTTGCTCCCCTTGCAGAAGTGGTATTTTCCTTATGCAGGTTTGACATCTTCTCTTGTAGTATTTGTCCTCTGATACAGGAGTAGAATGCAAACCTTGCATTTGAATGGACCATCACTTCTTGGTGGCAGCGCAAGTTTGAGTGGAGGTTCCGACATATTGATTTCTCTGTCCTTGTCTTGGCAGGTAAGAACAAGGACAAAGGAAAGGACAGGGAGATTACATGATATGAGATACTCTTACTCTCGTCCCTGATGATATGAGATACTCTTGCTCTGGTGTGACTTGTTTGTAGAGGTATTCTCAGAGAGGAAGAAAACTGAGTATTTCGAGATACTTTGTGAAAGATGCATTCTCGAAAATGAGGAAGAGTTAGATATTTTTCAGTTCTGCCTTACCATGGAGGACAAAGGTTGACATATATATGGATTTCCCAATAGCAGGTAGTAGTGCTGTACCTTTACTCTTGTCAGCAACTGTGGTGTAATTAGAACAGTAAGATTCACGCGTTTTCAACTTTATCAGAGATCTTTGACAAAGTTGCACGTGATATCCAAGAGCTGAGATTGCGTCTAAGAAATGTTGACAGACGTCATGCAGGGAAATCCAGCTTTTGAAATTCGAAAATCGGTGTCTCTTCGATTTTTGAATAAGTGGTCCTGTTGCCCCCTCCTTTTATAAAGATATCAATTTTGTTTAGAAACACTCAGAAATTGTTGCCTGCAGAAATTTCCCTTTCTTGCACTTCTGAGATTTTATCTGACTTCTTTCATCATTTCTGAAAATGGTTTGCCCATCTAACATTTGCTTAGATTTGAGTCTTAAGATTGATACAAACGAGCAACGTCAGGATAACATATGGCTCCCGTCCTTCTCATCTTCTAATGGTCCTCTTACGATTGGGGACTCTGTGATGAAGAATAACATAACTGCTACAGTGGTAGCCAGGAATCTTCTCACTCCAAAGGACAACAGAATCTTTTCAAACCGGTCTGATGAGGCGGCCGTTCAAGACTCATTGGCTCTCAGTGTTCAATGTGCGGGCTCTGTATCCAATATGGGCCAGCGCCTGCTTGCTCAAACTCACCAAGTTGAATCATTAATGGCTGAGGTTGCAAGTCTTAAACAAGAAATTAGAGGGCTCAAGCATGAGAATAGAGTGTTACACATGCTTGCAAATAATTACTCTACGAGCATGAAAAGAAAGCTCGACCAGCTACTAGAATCCGAAGGTCGGACTCAAAATGACAATCGGGGGTTCGAGTCTTTATTCCAAAGACATCCATTGTCTTAGCTGTCTAGAGTTCCACCAAGTATTGAGACTTCAAATAATCAACTTATGGTGTTTTCCCCTTCTGGGGTACTTCCGAGTACTAAGGCTTCACATGAGTAACCTTTTTGAAGGTTCCCTTCTGTTTGTTTGTTTTAACTCATGTGTATGTAATTTCTCGGAGATATTAATATATAAGCTTTATTTCATTCAGTATATTGTGTTAAATACAATAAAGCATATATTTCACTAAGATGTGGTACTTCTCGACCAAATATCAATTTATCTTTACCCTCGCGAAGATAAATGATCATTCTTAGTGTCTAAATCATTTGAGTATTCAACTCATAATCTTCAATCCATATGATTCTTTAATGTCATAAACATCATGGATAAAATTCGTGTTGGCATATTGTTCGATTCTGCAGTTCAGGACAATATTTCTCTCAACACTTTATAATCTTTCTTGACTCTTCAGGAGTCCCAATTTAATATTATCAACTCTTGCAAGAGATTTTAGTATGTTGCAACAATACCATAATGAAAGTGCTCACTAAGGCAATTTATACCATCCATTGGTATTGAGTACATATTTTATGCTTTACCTTTCCGGGGCTTACTTCAAGCAATTTAAATCCTTCAGGGATTTTCTACACTTCATGACACATTTTCCTTTAGAATTTATACAGAGCAATTCGCTTCCATGTATATTTGAGGGATTTACTCATGGAGATATGATGTGGGCGACTCATAACCCTTCGTATATAATTCTCCATTCATATGAACTCTTTTACAACCTTGTGTCATATCATGTGAGTGTATTTCATAGTATTACAAATGCTCATATGTAACCTTCTAGGTTCAACATCTTTTGGCTATTTGTATTGTATCCAAGTATATAGGTCTATTTTTCCACGTTCTTACAAAATTGTAATGGAATTGCCTATTTCCATTTTGGCCCATAATTTTGTTGATGGAAAAAGAATGGGACTCAATATCACCATAGCTCATTGATGAATTTAGTAGCTACTTGTAAAAACCAAAAATTACCATTGGTTATCATCAATTTGTGATCCCATATTCTCATGTGCATGCGCATGCATAAAAACTTTTCATTTCTTTTGGGATATCCATTGCCTCTTCAAGGGCATTACACTATCTCTTCCAGGATAGTTATAATTTAGAGAATGTGGATCATAACCTCCTCTTGAGCATTATAGAGCTTGGATTTTAATCTCCACTTCGGGAGTTGAGTCATTGGAACCTATACGTCTATCATGCTTCATGCATGAGACATCAATATTCCCATATCCGCGGATTGATCTTTCCGGGATAAGTATCCTTGCGGCAACTGTCATGTGTCTGGCATGCGACAGTTATGCTTCGGGAATGCAATAGTTTTAGTAGTGCCATATTCTTCTTCTTTTGAAGGACTAAACCTTTTGAGTTTGAGGATCTACCACGCTTCAGGCGTGCAACAGATAAATCATTTGCTGCCATATTATTTTGTCCAATAGGGACATTAATTCTTATAGGCACATTTGCAGTAAGCATATGTGATTTTATCACTTTCGTTGCATCATTAAATGCATCTGGCATTGGATTTGCATTTCGCTGCATCATTCAATTATTCTCACTTTGTTTGTATATTGATTGCTTCATGAATCAAAATACGACAAATTCTCTTCGTTCTTCTGGAACGGTTTTTTCTCATCATTCTTCTAGAATGATATTTGCTCATCGTTCTTCTGAAACAAAGTTATTTTCTCCCCCTAACGGCGGGAAAATTGTCTTATCAAAATGACAGTCCGCAAACCACGCGGTAAATATATCCCCAGTCAAGGGTTTAAAATATTGAATGATAGATGATGTTCAACATAAATGCCTAATCCGCAATGATGCTTCATTTCAGTATGTTGTGGCAGTGTAATAGGCACATAGATAACACAACCAAAAACTCGTAAATGTATAATGTTTGGCTGGTTCCCAAACACGAGTTGTACTGAGAAGTATTGATGGTTGTCAACAGGTCTCAACCAAATCAATAATGCATTATGTAAAATGACATGTCCCATGTAGAAACTTTGGCAATTTCATTTTCATCAGCAGAACGCGGGTAATTAATTTCATCCGCTTAATAAATGCTTCTGTTAAACCATTTTTGAGTATGGACATAAGGAACTTCTGGTCCTTATTTAATAGTCTGTAGACTAAGATTCTTATGGCTTTTATTGCAATTAAGTTGAGGCACTGCGGCACTTCAAACTTAAGGTACTTATCAAAGAACTTCATGTCCTGATCTTGAGGATCAAGGGACTTCATGCCCGATCTTTTTGTTTGATGGAACTTCAAGTCCAATCATTTTTATATGATGAGGATCAAGAAACTGCAGGTTCTGATCTAATCAAGGAACTTCGGGTCCAGTATGTACTCATCGTAACAAAAAGAAGTACAATAAATTAAAGTAATAGACGGTAATTCCAGCTATAATGAATAAATTGCATTTAAGTAAATAAAGCTTGTGACAAGGGCTTTAATTCAGCACCATTCACATAAATCAAAACTTAAAGCAGTAGGCGGTAAAACCGTCCATGATAAATAAATTGCTTTAAAGTAATTAGAACTTGTGAAAGGGTTTTAAACCAACACCAATTCACATAAATAACAAGAAGTATCATACCTCCTTTTATTTATTATTCTTCTTTATTTTGTCAGCATTTATTCAAACTTTACTATTGCTACTTTTCTTATTTCTGCAACATGGTGCCATGCACCAACAGAAACCATTTATATGATTTTGACCAAATGGTGTCATGCACCATTCAAATCCTTTTATATATATATATATATATATATATATATTTTTTTTTTTTTTTTTTTTTGTAGGTTGCAGTCAACATCTCCTTTTTTCTTCCTTCTCTGTCTCTGCCAGTCTCGAAACGCAGGGCCAGCTGGGTAGTTATGGAGGTTGCCCAAATTCAATTCAATCCAAAAGGCTACTAGAGACTGGCGTTGTTCTTGCATGACCCAGGGAACATGTCATCGTTAAGCAAGAACTTCCCTACAGAGACATAGATGACAGTGGGGTTGACGGAGGCACAAGAGAAGGAGGCCTGTGTGGATTCATTCTTGCCATCACCATCTCAAACAACCAAGTATTCATGGGAGTTCTCAAGATTCGTTGAAAACAACGTGATCTGGGTTTCCAAGTCTGATGAGATTCTTCTGGATCTCTGGAAACCAGTTGTCAAGTACGAGTTTTCTCATCTCCTGACGACTTCAGGTCATAAATTTCAATTCTCACCGGAATTCGGTGGGGCGCTTCTGGCGCAGTGGGAGAGACGAAAAATGGACATACCTTTTATTCTGTGAGATTTTAGATGACGGAGGTGAGAGGTGGATAGTGCTTCATCGGATTTATGGCGTTGTGCTTTCCACTGACATAAGAGTTTTTCGTGCTGATAACGTGTTGTAAAATCGACGATGTGTGTACAGTGGAATAAATAAAACAAGACACAAAATTTACGAGGTTCCTCTACAGTCAGTGTGACTGGAGTACATCATCGGGCAGCAGTGATGCTTTCATTATAATTTGGAATAATAGGAGTACAAAGATAACTCTATGTATTCTCTCCTCTCCTCTTTCTCTCTTTCTTTCTCTGCTCTCTATTCAAAGCATACGGAGTGCTCTATTTATAGAGCAACTCCAAGCACACATCTTTGACAATATAATCTCCACATATCAATATTCTGCCAAGGTTTTCAACACTTTGGCAATGTTTTCAATGTTGTGGCAGGTATTCAATACTGTGGGCATTCATTACCCACTAGTATTTTCAACAAGCCCAGGTTTTTTAGACCTTCTTTTGAAGAAAATTAAGCACTCCCAAACTAGTACTAAATTTTTCAAATAAATAAAATCAACTTATTCTTGACAACGACTACTTCGTCAAAGGTGGTCCTATATAAAAATCTTATGGATGACAGTTGTTGATTAATTAAAAAGAATGAGTCATAAAAGACCTGAGTTTGTCCATACTCTCTCAACCCAAGCTCCAATCCCATGAATTTAATATTATTATCCAGTTGGTTGTAAAATAAAAGGTGGGTCATAAGTTTAGATCTTTGGTCAGGTTGGGTCTAATAAACTCAAACCCAAAGTCTCATACCACTTCAATGTGTTTAGTTTGACCATGTTGAATTAGGTTGTGAACAATAGAATTCGCTTATTTTATTATCACTATACAAAAGCATGAGGTTTTAAGCTTAAACCTCAATTTTATCATAGCACGTTTCATGTTTCGTTCATAATAACTCAAAAATACAATGTAGTATATACACCTTGATGCTCAATCTAACAACAAAATTTTATTCTTAGTTCATCAAGTGACAATATTACCTCCAACAAATATAAGTAGTTCGATGTTGAATGTCGAATCAATTCCTATTTTGCATATATCCCGATAATATCAAGATGTCCATACTTCAAAAATATAAATATAAATATAAAGAAAAATTCATAAAAAATATCAAACGAAGTATGTATACATGTGTAAAATTGTAAGTAGCGGGTAGATAGATATACCTACTCAAAATGGATTTAGCCAAAGTGTTTTCCTTACACCGTTTACCTGCCAAAAAAGAATCACAAAGCATGGTGTCTGTTTGCGTTAGAAATACGAAAATATTGTGTCCTATAATTAACTGAGAAAAAGAGAGAGGTGCACAATAAAGAAAGAGCAAAGAGGTTGTAGAATGCTTAAGAATTCTTGTGTTGTATTTGTGACATCTCACATCGTTCAGGGGAGTGATCTTTATATATATATTCTCATCTCTAACTAGCACGAGACCTTTTGGGAGCTCACTGGCTTTGGGTTCCATCGGAACTCCGAAGTTAAGCAAGTAGCGCGTGAGAGCATTTCCATGATAGGTGACCCACTGGGAGAATCTCGTGTGAGTTCTCAGAAACAAAACCATGAAAACATGGTCAGGGCCCAAATCAGACATTATCGTGCTACGATGGTGAAGCGAGTCCGGGAAGAGGTCCCTCTGGACCGGAATGTGACAGTATTTCTTCCCATGCAATGTTTTTATTTATAATAAAATAAAATAAAAATTAACTTATCTTCCGAATAAATACAATCATAAAAATAAAAAGTAATTGGTAAAGTAATAGTTACATTTATTGTACAATTAAAGAATATCCATAACAGGAACGAAACAATTATAAAGGAAGGACCTCCCTCTCGAACACAAAAAATAAAATGGCGGGAGGTGGAAAGCTCCCCTCGAAAGTGTTCGTATCGTACAAACCTAGTCCAATACCTCTTCCGCTTTTTCATAATTTTTTATAAATTCAATCAAATTATTGGGAACTTTTTTTTTCCTTTAACGTTAAGCGTTCCGGAAGTAGCCCCTTTCACCGCCGTGCTGAAATTCGCTGCCGAGGAATTCAAAGTGCCTCCCCAAACCAGCGGTACCATCACCAACGGTAATTCGATTTCTGGGCTTTTGCATGCTGCTGTACATTTCGGTTGTCTCGTGAAGTCTTTGACAATCCGAATTGATGATTTATTTGTGATCGCAAATTTCGATTGATTGTTTGTGGGGTTTAGGGCATTGATCGGAATCGAATTAGGGTTTTTGGTTTTTGGTAAATGGGCATCCCATTTTTCATATTCCTAAGTATGAGATTGCAATACGCTTATGAAGATTATATCTTGTGGTCTTTTTAATTGACAACTCGAATTTATAATTCATCTAGAGCATAAGTGGTATAAACTCGAATAAAGATCGAATTTTGAATTTAGGGAATGGATAGAGCGACTTCACATAAGTGCACTTTAGAATTTCTATAGAATGTTTGAACAGTTCATAATTTTTCTCTGCTTCAGCTGAGATGTACTTGAAATCCCCTACATTTTTATGGAGAATCAATGTGTACAATTTGAAATGCGTGACTTCATTGCCACCACGTAACGGTATCTCAGTCCTTTTCCCTTTGAGGACAACAAGCTTTGTTTTGTTAGCTTAATTACTATATGATTCCCATATCCTAAGAGATCAAAACAGAAATTAGAAGAAATTGATATTTAACAAAAGTAAATGTCTGTCAATATCATAGGGAAGAATATTAAGAAAGGAAAGATGATACAGTATCTTGGAAGACAGTGTAGATTTTATACTTATACAGTGGGCTCTGCAAGACCTCTTAATTTTCAGGTTATTAATGCCTTGGGTGTTGAAATTTTGTTGTTTATTTCTTCTCACTTTTGTGCAGATGGTGTTAGAATCAATCCTCAGCAAAGTGCAGGTCTGCCAATGCTTTACCTTTATTTCTCTTTTCTGTTCTCCATTTGTGTTTTTGCTATTGTATAATTTTGTATCCTAAATTCCTAATCTGCAATTTAGACGCACTATATAGATTTACCCTACCAACCTTGTCTCCGTAGAATTAGTCTTCATAACATTAGTTCAACATGGATGTATTTTATGTTTAACCACTCCAGACCTTACGAGTAACAGAAAGCGTATTAAAAGATGGAATGGTCGAAATTATGGCATGACAGCTGTTGCTAGTTACCCTGGTAATAATTAAAAAGAAAAAAGGAGTGGATAGTTTCTGCAAACGGGGATTTTTATTAAGCTTTGATGTGGGAAAAAGTGGAAACGGTGGTAGGGAACCTTAATAAACTTGCAGGAAAGGATTAGGGAAGGAATCAGATTTGCTAACATTGCCAAAAAGAATCCATGCATTACTACTGCTTTGGTTTACTAGTGCTTTCTCCACACGTATTCTTCTCCACCCTCTTCCTTTATATGTGCATATTGTCAAACTTTTTTAGCACAATTCTTCATGTAGTTTCATCGACCTCAAGTTAGAAAGAACAAAAGATCGATTGATAGGCAGAGGAAGTAAGAAAAATGGAAAAACATTTCAATCTGTTAATGTTACCACTTTTACCAGTTGTTATGTTTCTTTCAGGTATTACCTGGGTAATGCTAGGGAGACAAAATTTCTAAACCAAATTTTGTAAGATGTTGATGATTGGATTTTACTTTAGTGTTGATTGACGTGCTTTTTTCTATCGGTGACACATCATTTGGTTTGTAAATTTGGTTTAAATGTGGTCTCCTTAGTATTATCCTATTTCTTGATCATATCAATTTTTCTGGTTTATGTTTCCTTCACAGTTTGTGTGGATAATGGCATTGACTAGAATGTAGTATTGGTCCTTTTGTAAACGTGCTCAAATTAATATGATCGAAATTCAGAATATTAATCTGTCACATCCTTGGAGTAAATTAAGGGTGGAAAAAATTAACAACCCTGTTAGTTAATTTGTGCACCAATATTTCATGTCAAATTTTAGAGCAATTGGTTTCTTGGATGTTTGCAGGACCAAAGTTATCCGAATCTGCTAGAACTTTCACCATTGTAAACAATTGCAAAGAGACAGTCTGGCCTGCAGTGATTCCTGCGGACAACTTCACTGCTGGTGGTTTTGTGCTAAAACCGGGCCAGTCAATCCTGTTCATCGCTTTCTGCTCAACCAGGTTTGTCATCAGCTAATTACATGCGCAAAAACTGTTTTAAATCTCTCTTTGGGATTTGGATGCAGTGATTATATAATCAAGGGTCAAAATAAGAAAAGATTTTGAACATTGAAATGTGATTCTTGTTCGTATATTTGTATCTTCGGTAATGTTTTCTTGCCAAATATACGTGCGCTCTTGATGCTGCGCGCTTTGCAAATAAAAATTGATCAATGTTTTAGCATTTTTTATCTGATTTTTTTTCCCCTTGTGGTGTAAGTTATTCACTTTTATTGTTATGCAGGAAGCGACCGATGTGCACATATCGCCACCACAAGATTCCGTGTCCTAATGTTTCTGGATCAGTGGGTTTAAAGTCATTGAGATGGTGGGCTGTGATGCTTGGATTGTTAATGATGATTAATTTATGGATTAATTTTTGAAAAAATAGTTTATATCCTCTCCAAGTTTAGAGGTGTATTTTACATCCCTTTTGAACTTAGAAGCAGCACTTCAAAAGATGACTTTTTTCAGAGAATTGTCCATGCACCATGCTGGTTGGTTGTACAAGTGAAGTTATTCATTTTATTCTTTTCTTTTCAAAGAGAATATATTTGAATGCAGTTGCTTTACACAACCTTGCTTGTCTCCACTCTCATCTTCAACTTCTTAATAAACAAGATATAAGGTTGAGTTATTAGGTCTAGTTTGGTATTGTTACGTTTTTGCAAAAAAAAATATTTTGGTAAAATATACTTTGTAAAAGTGTTGTGAATAGAAAAATAATATTAAAGTGTTTGGTAAATTTTTTTGTAAATTTGTAATAACTAAGAAGGGTTGAAGATCCGGGTAAAGGTGGAGGCTCAATTACACGAGAATCCCCGCAAGCCCTGGAACTAGCTTGCTTTCGTAGGGTCCGAATTTGGATCCTGCCTGGGAGTTGGTGGGCTCATCATGAATAACCAAAAAGGCATTGATTTTAATTTTATTTTTCAGTAAACTAATATAAATTTGGAAATATATTAAAAAACATAAAATCTGAAGTAAAAAAACTAAAACATAAAATTAAAATTAAAATTAATTTTAATTCCAAGCAGACCCACCCTCCACCCATTCAAACCCCCTCCACGACCAGACCACCCATCCAAACAACCACCACGACCAGACTATCCATCCGAACTGCCGGACAACCCATCCAAACCGCCATCGTGACCAGACAACCCAACCACCACAATGGCCCTAACCCACTTCCACAACTCGCAGCCACCACATTGGCGTGCCCATCTCAATTTACCATTGGTGCACGCATCTCGATCTATCTTTCCCAATCAGCAGCCATACCCGCTTCTATATGCACTCTCTCTCACCAGTCATCTAAGCAAAGGATTTCGGTCTCATGAGATAGCAAGCGGCAGCTTGGAGGATGCGGCGAGCAGAAAGAAAGGGCCTTAATTGTGAAAAAACAAGATTTTTTTGGCTTACCAAAGATATAATACAGCCCAGCTTTTTTTCAGACATGCTTTTAAAAGAATGAAAGGAGTTGTCCCATACATTCTTGGGTTTATGATCCAAGTGTTTATCGGGGGCAACTCAATTATTATCAAGAATGGGTTCAAAGCTGATATGAAGCTCACTGTGTTTTTATGTTATAAAGACATTGTAGCTTTCTTTGCTCTGCTTAAACACCTCCCGTTTCAAAAGGCCGTCTTTCATTTTGAATTATCTGCTAGGCCGTATTCGAGTAAGTACCTATATGAAATTAAAATTTAAATTGAAGAAAAAATAATTATATTTCAAAAATTAATTAATTTTCATTGAACATGCCATTTTTGGGGCAACTTGCTGTATTTGCAGGGTTGGTTCACGCCGGCCAGTTTCTCCAGTTGTCTCATCACAGTTGGCCTGGTCTTGACATTCTTTATCTCGTGGTATCGTAGGTATTGTTCCAAACTACCTGCTAAGTGTAATTAAACTCATTTTAATTTTTAGTTAATGAAGTATTTAAATTTGATTTCTTCTCGTCAATATATTATACTCATATGTACTTATAGATGCACAATGGGTTGATCTGACCCAAACATAATACGAGCTCGATTTGTTAAAAGTACCATCTCTATTTAGTTTTTTTTTTTCAAATGGAAAATGTAGACCCCTATCTATTATAGATGCACAATGACACGATATAAACCAACATTAATCCATAACTTAGTCTTGTGTAGTTTATTTATCCGGTAGTAGTGGGCGAGTAGGACTGAATCTGCTTAGAGAATTGGTGTAAATGGTTTGTATGAAAAGAATATTGGTTTTATGATTTTAGTTTCTTTCAAGATTATCAATGTACAAATGGTTGGCCCCACCCAAATATAAAATAAGTACAAAGTTACTAGCAAAATGAGACAAATCAACGGGTTGGAGAATTGGTGTAAATGGTTAATATGAAATCCATATTGGTTTTCAGATTTTTGTTTCTTTAAACATATACTTATAGATGTACAACTGGTTGGCCTGACCGAACATAAAACGAGCACAATCTATTAAAAATACTATCTCTAATTTGGGATTTCTTTCAAATGAAAAATGCATAAAACTTAAAGTATTGGGAGGTAAAAGGCTGCATCATTTTCCTACATAACACTCTGTTTACTTGTAACGAGGGGTTTCAAGCTTCATTTCATTTGACATAAGAAGGTATGAAGTTCAACTATAAACTAAACATTTACTTCTTAATTCTATAGAGAAACAAGCAGCTCGAGATGCCAACTCTACAGCAGTTGCCACTCCAGATGTTCCTGCATATTAGGTAAGTTTGCATCTCCACATCCATTCACTGTCCGCCCTTGAAGGACAAGCCATGTTCAAGCTAAAATAAAACCTTAGTAACATGAGCACCAAGAGTTGAAAGTGCTTTGGAAAAGAGCTTGATGAACCTTCCATTAATGAGTAAAAGTGAGTTCAGAAAACAAGAGTCGCACTTTTCAAAAAATACAGTTCAGAAAATATTTTCTTGTCAAAATTTCGACATTTACTTCTAAACTGATATGTTCAAGAATTCATTGACTTGAACTTCGTTTGTTTACCACATAATTATGACTTCTTCCAGAATTTGCAATATTATTCTAACTAAGTTTTTTTTATTGCTATAGTTTATCTGTGGGAAGAATGAAGGGAGTTGTCCCATATATTCTTGGGTTTATGATCTAAGTGTTTATTAGGGGCAACTCAATTATTATGAAGAAGGGGTTCAGAGCTGGTATGAAGTTTTCTATGTTTTTATGTTATAAAGACACTATATCCAGAAAACGAAGCCTCCTGTTTCAAAGGGTCGTCGAACAAATAATTATATTTCAATAATTTATTCATTTTCATTGAACATGCCATTTTTGGGGCAACGTGCGTTATTTGTGGGGTAGGTTCACGTTAACCAGTTTCTCTAGTTGTCTAATCGTAGATGGTAGAATACTAGTACCTCCTTCAGAAAGCCAGACAAGGGAAACTTGAACCCTAGACTCAAGTACTACGTGTGAGTACGGACGTTGGGTCAAGTAGGATCCAAAGATTTCGGCAAATTAGTGTGAATACCGGTTCCTCTTCTCTCCAACTCCATATGACAATCCCCAAGCACATTCTGTTTGGCATCGTTGAAGCGCATTAAGTCGTCATCATTATTGGTAGGTGCAGGCATGGGAGGAATGAATTTCAGATCTCAGAGGACACCAGCCTCCGGGTCGGCCATGAGAAACAGAGGCAAAACATCGAAAGTTTTGAACAAAGAATTTTAAGGAACCCAGAATGCTTAGGGGGAATAAGGGTTTGAATTTTGAAAGCTGAAATTTAAAAGGGAAAAATAATGGGTATGGCTTAAATACCCATCTTGATGGCCCTTCCACGGGGGCGCACGACGGTTCGCGGAAAGGTATGACGAGACACGTGGCCGCCCACTCAACAAATCAACAGCCGCAAACAACATGCATGGCCCCCTTTTTAATTGTCAGCACGTCACGTCGTGCAATAATCGATAGAGGGGAAACAAGGCGTCTCATACACCCCAGGCGCTACCGTACCTCAAGTGTCGCGCTTGTCTTGTGTGGAGGCGTCAAGCATTAACGTCTTCATTTTCTCGCTTGAACTTTTCAATGACCACCTCAAACATCAGAGCGAAAAGAAACTAAAGACATGGGGGCAAGGCTTCGCCGGACCGCCCTCACTCTTAATAGTACGTCCCACTCCGTGCATAAAATTTCTCGAACAACGCTATCGTTAGCAAGCGCGAGTCATCTGAAACAGGACTAAAGTCCTTTACATGACTTTGACATAAATAAGGCCCAAATTCCACTCCAGGAAATGTGTTATCGGCTTGTTTAACGACCTCTCTGAAGACACTCACGAGGATTAGTTAAGGGCATGATTCCCATATTACTGGAAGTGAATACACAAGTCCACTCCACCGAGTACGGTTCAGAGTGGAGGCAACATTATACACTCCCCTCTTCATCGAGGGACAAAACAATCAGATGATTCTCGGTATATACATATATGCTCACTCCGACGCTGGGGTGAGACTACTCCGAACGGAGTAGGCATTCCATGACATAGCCCATGGTAACTGTGTCCACTCAGAGGCTGAACAACTCTTGTCTAATCTAGGCAGCGCTTCCTCTCAATCATCGGAGACGTCAGGACAAGCTGATTGGTATCGCAAGCAAGACTGCTCATGCCGTACAAAGAACAGGCAGCTCTGCTCTGACAGACAACATGTCTAAAAAGACATGCTCTGCCACCAACCCCCATTTCCTCTGATGGCTCAGGGAAGTGACAGCCAGCTCGTACCTGCTTCTCAAGGCCTATAAATAGGTGAACCGACTCCTCGTTAAGGGTTAGCCACTCTAAGCCGTAAACACTTCTTCTACCCATACTTACACACAATCTGACTTGGCCATCAGAGTTCCTACACTAAGAACCACCACCCTCTGCGCGCGGCCTAACGGTCCTTGCTTGTCTTTGGTATGTACAAGTTGGAACCACCACGACTGCCCAAAACCACTCCAACAGATCTAAGTAGTTCGACGTTAAACGTCCAATCAACCAATTTTGCACATGTCCCTATAATATCATGATGCTTCAAAAATCTAAATATAAAGAAATATTATAATAAAATATCAAATGAAATATATGCATACGTGCAAAACGGTAAAAAAAGAATAAATAGAAAAACCTACTCAAAATAGAATTAGCCAAAGTGTTCTCCTTACACCATTTGCTTTGAGAAATTTAGAAAAATAGCCAAATTTTGGACTATGAATTGAATTTTATTAACCTTTATAACTTTTTGTAATTCTAACCAAAACTTGAAATGGAAATACTACAATACTCTTTTTAACTAAAATAATTACAAAATTATATCTTCTCCAACCATTCTTTGTGCAGTCTTTCCGACTCTTTCCCGTAAAACAGTCGGTATTGCTCCCGTATTAATTTTGTTTTTTTTTAAATAACTACACCAAACCCTAAAACACCACAGCATCAATCCCCATTGAAAGCGATCAAAACCCTAACCAATTCCCGCAGAGCTCTTTTGTTCTCAAAAAGGTGAAGGACACGTTTCGAGACAATAATGGAAAACATGATATATTTCTTGAGCTCCTAGAAGATTTCACTTTCAAGGCTCAAGGGTAACTTTAAATTTCCGATCTCAAACTA